AATGATGTTATTTTTAGTCCTTCTGATTTAAAAACCATCCGTCTCGCTGTTGGACGAGGCAAACTCTTTCACTGTTGGGAAAATCGTGAGGCTATAAACAGCCGTTTAGTCGAGCAGCTGGAGAATATCGACACATAACTCCATTCACAAACTGATTATTATCTTGTTTATTTTCGTTTTATAAATTGTTTAAATAATTACCATTTCCCGTGAGAAAAGTGGTTAGCGGTGACCGAGGTTGACCACTCAATCGCTTGTTCACCACGGTTAAATCAGATGAACTTGAAAATAAAAGTCGAATTCGTCAGCCTTCGCAAGCTATTTCGCATCAAACTCGACAATTAAATGCGTTAGGAGTGTAGAATTCTTTCGATGAAGTATAGAATACTTAAAATTCATGGTAAAAATAACTTACGAAAATATGTACATTCATTTAAGGGGTTTATCACTGATGTCATCATTCAAATGGACGCCCCGGTAAAATATGACAACCAAGGTTTGAAAAGTTCATCCCTGGGGTACAAACTAATTCATGCTAATTACTTGCGGCCTTGCTTGTGGCAGACAGTTTCAGAAACTGTTGACAGTGCCAGCATATGTACAGAGACCACCGGAAAAAAATTCTCGAATAACTGCTTTGTTACTATAGAAACTTTTGTGCAGAGGCGACGAGACGTGACAAAGCCGCTCAGTCCATTGGCCAAAAGCTTTTCGACAGTGAAAAGCCTAATAATCAAAAGAGCGTTAACTGCCAGCTTATATTTGCCTAGATTTTCCGGATGGCCGGGTGAAGGAATGCGGTTTGCATGCATAAGGGCCCTTATAAAGAGCTGCTGGTAATAATTCTGTCGTTTACTTCGATTGCGATTACTTGAGGTGATCAGTCAAACTGCACCCATTCCGGAAATATCTGAAATTTGTGGGTCTGGCGTCAGCGCTCCCGGCTCTTGCCGTGTTTGTCAGTGCAAAGGAGCACGCACAGGACGGGACGAAATTCACTCACGCTAGAGTTTCACGAGCAACCGCTACGTTTGCTCGACGGAGCGAACGCGCTGGAAAACAAACAGAATTGTACTTTTGTGCGTCTGAATTGCCGACGATCAAATGTCGAACGCGCGTGGAAAGAAAAACAGAGGTGGACAAGTTTTCGACGACAACAGTAACGAAATGCCAGATCCAAACCTTCTGAGTCCGAATTCTTCGATGAGGAGCTTCGATGTGTCTTCTGCTTCAGACAACGACTCCTGGGCCTCGGAGGATTCGTATCCCGACGAGCTGCCGTCGCCGCCAGTCCAGTGGAAATCAGAAATTCCCTGGACTCCTGATCGCCGCAGAAGTTCCATCAAGAAGCCTCAATTTCAGCTCGATCCGGTTGCTGTTCAGCTGAACGAATTCTACGAGAATCGCGTGAGAATTAGCTTGGAACGCAAAGAAATCTGCGAAGAAATCGCCTACAACGCCGTGCATAAATGCTTCCGTAAAATCCAGATGGTGGACAGTCGATTTCGTGCTAACAGCTTGGTGTCGCAAGGCATACCGTACGATGGCTTACAAGCTGAGGAAGCCATTCAAATGGACATGCTGGTGCAACTTTCCCCGGGCACGAGCTCTGCAATGTACACAGCTTACGACGAGCGCACGGGCGGCATGCGGGTACAGCCCAGCTCGGAGGATTACAGCGTCTGGGAAGACTGCATAACAACCAACGGCTTCTTGTCTGCCGGCAAGATAAACTCACTGCTGCGAAAGTACGTCAAGAAAGCTGTAAAGATTTTGAACTTTCACATCAAAGATGGTCGCGCGGAGAAACTACCCAAAAATTTAAGTAGCATTTCGGTGGAGAAAGGGCCCGTAATTCGATTAACCATCAATAAGGACATAGCTGTCGATATCCTTCCCGCATTTGTGATCCCCGATTCTCGTTCAGACCCGTCTCGGAGGGACTGCCCATCATCTTCGCACGTGGTTTGCAAACCCCACGTTCAAAACGAAATGATATGGCGTTTGTCGTTTTATGTGGCGGAGAAAAATCGCATTCGAGCTCTTAGCGAAGGCTGTCGAGTGCAGCTATTGCGCATTTTAACGGAAATCCGCGACAATGAAGATCAACTTAAGAAGCTTTCATCTTATCATGTCAAGACCTTACTCTTCCACGAATCCGACAAATACCCGGACTTTCACGAGTGGAGTGCGGATAAAATCACGCGGCGATTCTTCGGACTGTTAGAACGGCTCAAAAAGGCGTTGAAAGAGGGAAACCTACCGCACTACTTCATGCAGCCGCCAGACTTCAAACCGGTGAATCTATTCGCCGATCTGGACGGGAAAACTTTGTCAGACATGTTAGATGTGATTGAAGATATTATGGAGAATCCAATGGGCGTCCTGAGTACCGTGGGACGAGAGAGAAGACAGACGATGTGGCCTTGGGAAATGGGTTTGTTTTTGCCAGCGGGATTAACCTCGTAACGCGGGTAAGTTGTCGCGTAGGAGCGAAATGACATTTTATCACACTGCCGTCTGTACTTTATTCAAATATGCTTCTATTTATCTTGCGAGTACTGCTTTTATTTTGGTGGTAGAATCTCCTTAAGAGGGCTATTAGAGAAAAATAGTGTCCTTGCGTAGGATCAACATAAGATTCTGATCGAGCTATTAAAATCTTTTGTGTCCTTGCAGCAATCGAGCTGATTATTTCGTCAAAAATCGTTTTACGGCTTATAGCAATGAAGTGACAAAAGCTTTTTGCATATTTATGGCTTCATTTGATATTGAGTTCGCTCAGTGTATTTGCTTATTTCAATGTACTATTCACTTGTTATCATTGACAAATGTGTGTGAAATTCTTGCATGAAAAGGTGCTCCTAAAATTAAGCTATTTTAAAAACTGGAGTACTTGACAATGATTTAGAAAGAGTAAATGAGATTTTTATGTTAATTTACATGAAGCACCTTCGTTTAAGTTTCGCTTTATTATTTTTTTTTT